CAATATTATGGTATGCATATTCATCTTTTAGCAAGCATTATTTATCTGCTTATTTGCTTGTTTATTCATTTATTTATTTTTGTAAACAGAGATCAAAGCCAGGGACACTTAACCACTGAGCCACATCTCCAGAGTTTTTTTTTTTCCCCAAGGCATATTTAATTTAATATCAAGAGTATAATACAAAAGGCCCCAATACAATGAAGGAACACATTCCCCCATTAATACTAGTGATAATGCTCTTTTAACATGTGCCTGTTGAATGGGATGGGGATTTATAAAGTTCACTACTGAGAAAAAATAATGCAGTGAGTCTCATCACAGCCAATGTCCTTATACAATCTAGTTGTGAAATGAATGTTCATAATGCTTCACACAGTTTAAACCTGAAGTTCAATACCACACCTTCATGTCTGCACAGTCCTCAGTTGTCTGCAGTTTTTAAAACCATTCAAAGAACAAACCATTGATGAAAACCACATTGATTTAAGGCTCCATTGTGTAAGAGAGAGCCCTAAGCTGGGTGGTTAAACATATGCTCTACTTGTACTGACAGCTATGATTTGATTTTCTCATGACTATTAAAAGTTGGTTCTCAGCAGAAAAACCTTTAAAGGCAATATCACTTCATTTGAGTTTTGACCCAGAAGTTCAACAACAATCATGAAGTCCACAGTCTTCTATCTGGCAAAACTGATACACAGTGTCTCTAGGTCATTATGCTCGAGGCTAAGAGCGAAGCATATTCCGTTTTTACATTTTTCTGGAATTTTACACGTTCAACTCATGATTTTTAAATCTCTAGGTTTTCAATCCTCCAAACTGTCTGAAGACACAGTGTGCCACAGGCTTCAGACTTCGGTTTCCCCCTCTATTTTCTTCAAACAGAAACATTTCTCAAGTTCTACATGTTCTAGAAGGGGAATTTTTCAGAGGTGGCCTTTTCTTTGGAATAGTCCCATTACATCAGGCCTCAGAAGCAAGGGGAAGGGGAAGAAAAAGAAAGCTCACACACAAGGTTCATCTGGTAAGTTTTACATTAATCATTACAAGATGCAAGGTATAAGAATGTGTGTGTGTGTGTGTGTGTGTGTTTGTTTTTGGCTCAAAAAGTCTGAGTCTTGGTGTGGAAACAAGTACTTGGCTGTCCCACCACAGCTTTCTCGCAGTGGGACTGTCAGGGAAGTCTTGACTGGGGGGTATGATTTATTTACCGATTAGACCTAAACTTCCAGGCACTCAGTTCATTTTGGGCTTGTTCCACTTCGCCTTTCATTTTTAGGAAAAACAAGTTGATTGCTGGGTCTGCCATTGTTGATCTCATTTGGGTAACACTCGGCTGCTGGACTTGCTTGAGGTACTGAATTTGAGCAGTACACTCTTGCTTGCATCTCTTGTTCCTTCGTTGCTAGTCGCATTACAAGGATGTTTTCCCTGCATGCAGACTCCTGCTGCTGTTGCTTTAGTTTTTCTTCAGACTCCCTTAAACCAGTTATGTCATTTGAGTTAAGATCTGTGTACTTGCCCTCCAAAGCTTGACCGTAAGCTTCATATTGTTTCCATTCTTAGAATTAACTCGTCTCTTGCCATAACTTTGAAGTCTGTTTCACTCAGTGGAACCTGGCATGTGTGCCGCACTGGGTTCAATCCTCTTTTGGAAGAGCTTCTTCGTTGGTCATATTTATTTTTTATTTTTTTTATTATTAGTTGTTCAAAACATTACAAAGCTCTTGACATATCATATTTCATACATTTGATTCAAGCAGATTACGAACTCCCATTTTTACCCCGTATACATATTGCAGATTCACATCGGTTCCACATCCACTTTTTTACATACTGCCATACTAGTGTCTGTTGTATTCTGCTGCCCTTCCTATTCTCTACTATCCCCTCTCCCCTCCCCTCCCCTCTCCTCCCATCTTCTCTCTCTACCCCATCTACTGTAATTCCTTTCTCTCTCTTGTTTTTTTTCCCCTTTCCCCTCACTTCCTCTTATATGTAATTTTGTATAACAATGAGGGTCTCCTTCCTTTGCCATGCAATTTCCCTTCTCTCTCTCTTTCCCTGCCCTCTCTCAACCCTGTTTAATGGTGATCTTCTTCTCATGCTCTTTCTCCCTATTCAGTTCTTAGTTGCTCTTCTTATATCAAAGATGACATTTGGCTTTTGTTTTTTAGGGATTGGCTAGCTTCACTTAACATAATCTGTTCATAGCAGCACAATTCACAATAACTAGACTGTGGAACCAACCTAGATGCCCTTCAATAGATAAATGGATAAAAAAATGTGGCATTTATACACAATGGAGTATTACTCTGCACTAAAAAAATGACAAAATCATGGAATTTGCAGGGAAATGGATGACACTAGTTTGTTGGTCATTTTGAATCCAAGGAGTCGCCTCCTGGCCACGGCCGAAGCCGCCTGCCCGTGCCCTGAAAAGACTAGAGAGACCGGCCGACTTCCTGGCCCCAGCGGGGCCTTGAGCCCTAATGGAGCAGCTGCACCCACATGCCACGTCCTGGCCTTCCCTGAGTGTGCAGCGCACCACGCGGCTGCCGGGACTCCCAGAGTTTTATATTTTATTTTTATTGAGACGGGGTCTTGCTAAATTGCTGAAGCTGACTTTGAAATATAGATCCTGATATATTTGCCCTCCCCCCCAGCTCCTGAGATCCTGGGATTATAGGCATGTGCCAAGGAATAAAGGTGTTATTAAAAAAATGGTATGGTATGTAGGGTGCAAAATTTATGGAAGTCCTCATTATCGGGGTCACATAAATGGAGGGATTAGCACCTAAAAAAGTGTGCCTATTAAATGTTTTGCCTCACCCTAATTCAGGCACTCAGGAAAACTAATTTTCATTAATTTGAAAAAAGACAGGTATCTGCTGATGGACAAACTTCTAGGAAATTCTCCCTGCTTCAGAGGAAGAGACGTTTGGTCTGTTCTCTTTCTTGGAACCACATGTCAACATGAAGTATTTCCAATTGCTTGAAGCTGGTACAAAGATGAATGGGGGAAGGGTGTGAACCTTGGATGACATGAACTACTAAATCAACTTGCTAGAGGTGGTCCGTGCCTCTGCACCCCATGATAGATAGACACTGCTGAGGTCCTAAGCCATTTTGATTCCATCTCTGTTTCTGTCACATTGCTAGAGAAGAGTAGGACTGCTGATACACCACAGCCCAAGCACCAGAAGTTGGAAAAGAGCTCAGCTGCTCAGATTTAGGACATCTGTGTTCTCTATGAGAGTGCTGGACTAGTACTAATTAGTGGGGGGGAAAGTGGAAAAAACATTTTATATTTTTATTTTTGTGATGCTGGGGATTGAACCTGAAGTGGCACCCCCTTTCTCCACAGAGTTTTTTTTTTTTTTAAGAGAGAGAGAGAGAATTTTTTTTTTAATATTTATTTTCTAGTTTTCGGCTGGCACAACATCTTTGCTTTGTATGTGGTGCTGAGGATCAAACCCGGACCGCACACATGCCAGGTGAGCACGCTACCACTTGAGCCACATCCCCAGCCCTACAGAAACGTTTTCACTGGGCTTCTCCAAAAATGTTTACCATGACTGATTTTTAGGACTGTCAGCAAAAGAGTCTCTGCAAAAGAGTTCAATGTAGATAAACTTCCTATTTTCATGTCACTCTGTTTTACTTGGCCACTGGCCGGGAAGATACCAGAACTCCAGGTCTGGACACCCTTTACTAGTTTTTCACAAACATATCCAGTATAGAAGTTTGTAGAAATGTGCAAACAAGGCCTCTGGCCTTGAGCTGGGCTTCACAGAGATGTTTACATTTTTAAGATAAGTTACAATTGGGCTCCATGGTAACAGCTGGCAGGGGGAGGAGAGAAAGAGGAGAAGAAGCTCTCCCCTTCTCAGGTGTTGTCCTTGAAGGGTTAACTTGCCCAAAACAGTGAAAGAAAAAGCTGCCTCTATGTGAACTTCTGCAGACTGCGAACTTCTTAGCCCCTCCCCTTACATGCTGGGTATAAAACTCTGAAACTCCCTGAACTCGGGGTTCAGGGGATTAATTGATTACAGCAAAAGCTGTGCCCTCTGAACCTGGCTGCACCAAATAAAACTGTTTCCTGATATCTTCGATGCCTTGCCTCCTTTTTCCCTACAACAAATCCAGGGTCTGTGCATGTGAAGCAAGCACTCTACCAATTGAGTTATATCTCCAGCCCTTGGAAACAACATTTAAAAAAATGTATTTTTTCAAATAATTATGAGTGCATAGTAATTATACAAAACAATTGGGTTCATTTTGGCAATTTCCTACATGCACACATAAAGTACTCTAACTGAATCCACCCTACCTGTAACACTCTCTTACCCCCCCTTGTACTTTCCCTCACCCCTTACCTTCCCTGTTAGTCCATCTTCTACTTTCATGTTACTTTATATTATTCTCTAGATTCCACATATGAAAGAAAACATTAGACATTTTTTTTTCTGAGACTGATTTTTCTTAACATGATATTTTCCAGTTTCATTCATTTTCCTGCAAATCACATTTCCTTCCTTTTTATGGCTAAATAAAACTACTGTGCATATATACAGATCAATTTTTTAAAAATCAATTTATCTTATAATGGGCACCTAGGCTGATTCCATAACTCAGATTTTGTGAACTGTGCTGGGACAAACATAGGTATGCAGCTGTTTCTTGTACTATGCTGACTTTGATTTCTTCACATGTACACAGAGAAGAGTGGTATAACTGGATCAGGTGGTTGTCACTTTCAGAGTGCTTTCACTTTCAGAATCCTCAAGAAAACATGCTGGGCTCAACTCCATTCCAGTGTCTCCCTTGGTGTTCCAGTGCAAACCAGTGTGTGACAGAGGAGGTGAGGTTAGGGGAGCAAGAGCAAGGGGATTAGTGATTCATCCCTGAGCAGGGAGGAGATCCTATCCCCTGCCATGACCCAGGTCAACTGGATTTCTTCCTTGGGGCAGTGAATGCTGATTGGAAGGTAGGAATTCCCAGATCTAATCAGGCCCGATAAAAGGTCTCTGGGAGTGCAGAGGCCCCAGAGTGGATCTGAGAGAGGCACAGCTGTAGATCCTGGTCCTGTGATTCAGAAGTCAGCACAAGGTTAGCAGCACTGAGACCTGAAGGAGAGACTGTGTGGAAGGTGGCAGGTGAGGACTTCTCTGTGCAGGGGATGAAGTGACAGTGGACCAAGACAGGCAAGTTTTAGAAACCCCAGGCCACCACTGGGAGAAGGGAAGGCCAGAAGAGAAAAGAGAATCTAAGAAGTCAGTGTCATTGCTGTGTTTAGAGAAATAGCTTCTTGGGAGCTCATGGGGGTCAGTTGTGCAGAGGGACCTTGATTGGGTCTAGTCCTGGATAAGGGCAGCAGGATTCCAAGAAGACAAAGATGCTGCACAGCCTCCTGGCTTCTCTGCTTACCTATTTCCTGCCCCTGGCTGGCCCTGGCCCTCATCCTGGTGAGGGTTCAAGCTCCAACACAGCTCCCACCTAATGGCCTTATTTTCTCCCCTCTCCTCTCCTCAGGGAGTCACAGCATGACTTCTGCCTTACCTTTCTCTGTGCTTTTAAAATCTCCAGTCTCCAATTCAAAACCAGTGCACCCTTTATTTATCTGAGATTTCCCCCTAATTGATGGAGCTCTTGCTGTTTCCTGAGCATGTTTGCAGGTGCTTAGAATCAGGATACCAGGCACCTTTCCTGCAGAGAGTAGCCAGTCTTGTGGGTTCAACAATGGATGAGACAGGGAATTACAATTAGCAGTGATGAGTCAGGGTGGGGAGGAGGGAGCTCTAGACTAGGACATCAGAGGCCTCTTGGTGCTGAGCCTAGGAGGGAGGAGCCAATGATTTGAGCCTGGTAACAGGGATGGGATAGGGAGCCTTTTAAGTTGGATGTCACTGTTTGCCAAGGCTTAGAGGTGACTGGGCGGGGGTGGGGGGTGGGGTCAGGGTAAATAGAGGTGGAGGCTGTAACAGAGGAGGACTGCAGCAAGGGATGGGGCCAGGCAGATGGGATGCAATTTACAAAACATATTTTTGAGTTCCTCCCTAGGGTCACTGGAGATTTAAGGGTGAGATCATAGAATCAAGATAGCGCTTCCCTCTCAGGATGCTGTGTGTCTGTCCACCTGAACTCTTGATAGGGGGACCCCAAGTTCTGAGACTTCCCAGCCCACTTGATTTGCATTTTAATGAGCAGAGGCTTATTGTACTGGTGATCTCAGGGTCAGCCTCTGACTAGAGGCTCTGGAGAGGAGCCAGGAGGTTTGTACTAGGCATAGGATCACAGGGGCTGGAGAAGTGAAGTTGGGTAGAAAGATTTGGGAGGGGGCTGAAGGCAGGCTTGGACATAAGTTGGGGGGACCTTGGAGAATGAGAAATTGTTGAGGAGGTTTCCCAGGATCTAAGGCCAGCCCCTGGTGAGGAAAGATCTCACTACATAGACTTGCCCACTGGTGTTTACACTCCACTCACTCTGGCTACAGTAGCACCTCCTTGCTCTTGCTTTGACTAGTCATCCATTCTTCTTGCTTTGACCTGTCAACTTCTGTTCTCCTCTGCATGCTTTTCTGCTCTTCCTTTCCTAGACAGTTTGATGTTCTACAGACACCAGCCCCTTCCTCACATGTCTAGTCTACTGTCATGGATTTCGCTGGTACTCAGAAATTTTCTGAATTCACAAGAAAAATGAAAGCAGAGACCACACACAGTGTCCTCAGCCCCATTTTACTGTGTTTCTCTGTCTTCTTTGCCCCCAGACCCTGCATCATGGATTCTCTTTCAAAAGCAAATGGCACCTTTGCCATCCAGGTTTTGAAGATGCTGTGTCAAGACAGACCTTCACAAAATGTGTTTTTTTCTCCCCTGAGCACCTCCTCTGCCTTGGCCATGGTCCTCCTGGGGGCAAAGGGGAACACCAAGATCCAGATGGCTCAGGTAAGCCTGCCTGTCACCTAGGAGGAGAGACTGGTCTGCAAGGGTTGTCTTTTATCCCCTCCTTAAATTTTTCCAGAGCTGTTGATGAAGGAGGGGTGAGCCTGGACCATTTCAGGGAGAGGGTACAGGAGGAAGGGAAGGAGAGAGCTGAGGAGTTTCCTCCAGTGAGATGTTGTGGAGGTTGCTCACAGGGGTTACTGTGTAATCTCTTTTTCATTTTTAACTTTCCTTGTGAGTATTTGTAAAATTTTTCTTACAATTGCTGATGTCTGTCTATGTTGGATAGAAATGTGTGCTTTCTTTGAAAGAATCAGTTCTTGGATTTATTGAGCATTTTGTGTTTTTCCCTAAATCCCTTAGGAATTTTTCTCTACTTTTTCTAGCACCATGAGTTGGGAATTTTGTTATATCATTATTTCCTTTGTAACATTAAAATAATAAATGTTGTTTTAATATTTTTTGTTCTAATTATTAGGTTTTGGTAATATAACATGCATTTTATTTTCTAAATCATAAGTCACATATTTAAATAGTATTTTAAATATTTATTTCAAATCATTCTTTAGAAGAAAAAATATTTTTATTGTCTACCTTATTGAGAATCATCAAGGTCGGTGTGGAAACTCTGTTCAACTGCTGCTGCTGGCATGAAGGACTTATGGATGTCTCCCCAGATACAGCCACTCCAGAGCCCTTTCTTCTGCTGTAGTCTTATCAGAGAGGGGAACCTTCCAGTGACAACAAGATAAAAATGGACATCCTACTAAAGGCTATGGGTCACTCCTATAATGAAAACAAAATGTGGGTTGTAGAGAGAACTGAACCATCCAAGGATTCATTGACTCATCAAGAAGTTCCTTAAACTTGTGGCCTTGGAACAGTTGTTCACTTATGGGAATCAGTCCTTTGCTCCTCCCCCAGCTGAGGGATGTTTGGGCAGTGATGGTAAACTGGTCCTACAGTACTGCAAATCTCAGGCCTGGGGATGAGTCACAGAGGAAAAACAACTTGCTACTCAAAATGGTGTTTCACAGAAGAAACAGCTCCAAGAAGTTCTAATGCTTGTTGTGACAAGAGACATAACAGATATGAGCTACTCAGCATGTGTCCACTGTGACTCATGTTTATGCATAAGAAAACATCTGTAGAGTGAATAGACTAACAAAAATATGATTGTGTTAATACACAAATCTTTGTAAAGATTGCCATTACATTATTCCTGTTGCTTCTGCCTATTACTACTGTTGTTCCAGATCTGCCTCCAAGGTTGAAAAGACTGAAACTACATACCTTCATTTCCAATTTTCAAAATGATTCAAATTGTTTACTAGTAGAATTGGCACTCTGCCAATTTCTTTCATGGTAAAAATTAATTTATTAAGAGTTTTTTTCCTTTTGTTTTTAACTTATTCAGTAAACTTCAGTTTGTGTGGGATATAAGATGTTTGTGTTTTTTTTTTCCTGTTGAATTAGCTTGTCAAACCAAGTCACATTGACCTCTTTGCTGAATGTTTTATATAGTCCAGTAGAGGGCAGTCCAGCTGATACAAAGGTTTGGCAATTTCGTTGTACATCTTTACAAGGTGATAAGACTTTTCTTGTTATTTCTGGCTAATATCTACCCAAGAAAGCAAGTATGTTGCCAAATGGAAGACTGAAAAAATATATGTAGTTTAAATTTAATTATGTTGGGAAATGGAAGTAACTTTACAAATTCTAGAAAAAAGAGTTTCATAGATTTTATCTATTTTGTGTATACTATCATTTAAGATTGAATCCAAAGTTGTGTTGCTATGTCACTTATTTAAACAATGTCAAAAGGGAGTTATTTCCTTAGAAACTGTTTTCAATAATTAGTTAGTAGGTTAGCTTCCATGTTGTTGGCATTTTAGTTGTAGTGTTGTTGATTTTTAGTTTCCTACACTGAAGTCATTGAATATAAATTGTGTCATTTGCATACTTCAGAATCAAATGAAACTCTTCTCGTGACCTAATATGACACCTTTAAAATATAAAGTATCACATAATGTACTTATTTATTTTTTATTGCTCATCTCTAAACTATGCAGAGAGCACTGTGCAGGTACAAGAGCCATATCTTTTATTCACCAGCTTCCTGGCCCCTCTCTCCACCTATCTCACCAGTATCACTTCTCGATTAGAATCAACTTCCTTTCAAAAGAAAAATTTATGCAGTATTTGAGAAAATAGTTGCTTGCAAATTCTTATTGAGTGCAAAATCAAAATTGACAGAGTTTTGCTGATTTCCTTCACAGGCAATGTCTTTAAACACAGAGGAAGACATCCATAAGGGCTTCCAGATGCTTCTCACCCAAGTGAACAAGCCTGGCTCAAAGTATTTGCTTACAACAGCCAACAGACTCTTTGGAGAGAAGACCTGTGATTTCCTCTCAGTAAGTTGAGTCAGTAGAACAATAAAAGTTGTATTTAAAACACCTGGTGATATACGACCCAGAAGAGAGACTCTAGAGACAAGGCAGGATGGCATATTTGGGAAGCTGTGGCAAGTGGATGGAGAGTTAGAGGCCATCTTGGGCAACCTAGTGACACCCTTGTCTCAAGAACAAAATGAAAAACTTCCTTGGGATGTAGCTCAGTGGTATAGAATTTGCCTAGCATGCTGAAGGCCCTGAGCTCAAACCCCAGTACTGCAAAAACAAGGAAAAAATGAACAATATTCTAGAGAATTTGAGAAACTTATAGTAAACTACTTTTTAAATAAAGACCCCAATTCTATAATCATAACTTATATTATTTCAATTTTGGCAATGTCTCAAATTTATTTATTATTTCTGGTTATTCAGGGCTCTGGAAATATCTCTTTACAAACTAAAATGTTTTACCATCAAGTAGTTTAAGATTTGATCATGTTTTTCATTTTAAGAAAAGCCTAAAATCTAGCATTCAGAATTTTTTGAAGCTCACTGTCATTTTATGGCCAGCATCTGAACTTTTTCTCTCCCAAGACTTTTAAGGAGTCCTGTCTTCAGTCCTACAACACAGAGCTGGAGCTGCTGTCCTTTGCTGAAGCTACAGAGAAGTCCAGGGAGCATATAAATACTTGGGTCTCAAAAGAGATGGAAGGTCAGAATTATAAGTTATTTCCCTCTCCTCACACCCCACCTCTGTTCTCCTCTCCTCTCTCCTCTACCTCTCCTCCTCACTGCTAATGTCACTGGTGTTGCAGAACCATCAGAGCAAGGTTGCCTGGTGAGCCTTTGCTGCCTGTGAACCTTAGTGACTCACAGAAGATCTGATCAGTGCTCTGGTTTTCAAAACCGGAGAATTAATGCTGTCTGTCCTTCTCGGACAGGAGTGACTGATACAAGTGTCAACAGAAACTTGTAGGTCAGATTTCCCATGTGATAATTTATTTGACACTGGCCTGTATTGTTCACACGGCAGGTGACTGTTGACTGTGGGAACAGATCAATGGCCTGATTTTCCCAAGTCATGCCCTTGGCTCTCCTCTTCATGGAGTCAGTTTGGACTTCATTCCTCCCACTTTTACATGTTAGGGTGACTTATCCTACTTCTTCTTTCTTATCTCTCACTTAAGCACACTTCATCAGACTTGAGAAGCCTAGACTTGATTAGTCAGCTACAGAGCCTCTTTCAGGGCTGATCCATTCTACAGACTGAAAACATCTTCCATGCAGGGTTAAAACTTACTCATTTCTGTTTCAAAGTGTGACAAGTTCTAATCTTGGTCCTCAAGATCAATGATGGTTTGATGTTGAAATAATTCAGATAATTTATGTACCACTAGGAACATCCTTATTTCTGCTAACAAATGAGACCATAAAAAATAGAGGTAGTCCTTTCCACTATTTATTCTTGGAATCTTTATTTCTTGTGTCCTCTTCAGGCAGCAAATTACTAGGGATGCTCTTAGTTTTTTGGAAAGTACCACTTGATATGAAAATTAAAAAGGATATACCTTCACCTACCCAAATCATTATCTGTTCCAGGGATTCCAGGTGTCAGGATGGTGCAATCATAATATCTCTTCTATAGTTTCCAGAAACTCCTTCTATCTCTGCTGTGGAGCTATTCAATTCTATCTGCACCAGGAATATTGCCAGGTAGCTGTACAATGTTAGAACTGGGCCTGATCACAGAGCCTTAGACCTGACACTGCTCTTACCCACAGCAGGTAATGTCAGCTCCTACCCAGCCCCTCTCTCCTTTGCTGCTTGACTTCTTCTCCAACCTGGAGTCAAATTTCTGCTTTTTTCCAACCTGCTTTCCTTCAGTGACATAGAAGTCTTTTACCATCTTCAACTTGTTGGCTCTTCCAGTGACTGTCGTCCTGAATACCACTCATAGTTGGGATTTTTAACTTTTATACGTATCATCCAAACTCAGCACATTTGAAACAAGAATGTTTGGATCTCCAAGGCATCGTTGTCATGATTATTTACCATGGGTTCAGAAAAGCAACTGATAGAATTTGTGCTTGTCTTTAAAGGTAAAATTCCAGAGTTGCTACCAAAGAACTCAATTGATGAGCAGGCCAGGCTGGTTCTTGTTGATGCCATCTACTTCAAAGGAACATGGGATGAGCCATTTGACAAATCACATGTGTGTGAAATGCCTTTCCTAATAAATCAGGTAGGGAGAGACTTTCAAAAATTATGCTAGTTTGATGAAGAGATTGAATAGAAAATTTAACTTTGTAAAGGCATAAATGGTTAATAATAATTTTAAACTTACCATCTCTCTTAATAAATTTTAATCTTAGTGAAAAAATGATTTGAATAAATGATACTTGGTCTTTATTATAGTTTAAATCGTATTATCCTATTAGCACTCTCACTGCCTCTGATGAAGTCTCCTACATGTACTGGTTTAACCTCATTCTGGAAACAAAGATCTTCCTATTGACACAAATTGCTTAGATAAAAAGCAAAATGAGGTGATATATGTATGTGTATGTATATATACATATATAAATGTATATATATACGTTTATATATGAATATATGAATGACATGAGGAAGAATGCAAAGCGGGAATGTGACAACACATTTCTTGAATCAGGATTTTTTTAAAAATATTTTTGTGCAATGAGAGATCAACCTCAGGGGCTTGTGCATATTAACCAAGTACTATACCACTGAGCTACTCCCCAGATTTTCCATCTATTACTTTTTAAATTAAAGTAATCTCTCATTTGAATTGTTGTTAATCATAACTTATTACTGATTTAGTATCTGCATCTTTGTACCATTAAAAATGAGTGGCAAAGGCCTTAGTCAACTGTGAGCTATAACTTTATTAAAACAGATATTAGACTAGTTTGCTAAATTCTCTAATCCTTTAAAATACAGTGTAATGCAATAAGGAAGCTTGTATGCAGTAACCTCCTCTCCTCTTTATAAGGCATGTTTATGATAACAATGTATTAATTTCTAGCAGTGCTAGATCACCCCAGAGTTGAGAGTTTTCTTTCCCCTTTTTATACCGTTTTAAATGTTGTGCTCATGTGGTCATTCCCCTCAGGAGGAGTCAAGGCCAGTGCAGATGATGTGTCAGAAAGCCAATTTTAACTACATCTACATCAGTGAGGCCCAGACACAGGTGTTGGAGCTGCCCTATGCTGGCAAGACGCTGAGCATGATCATCCTGCTCCCAGATGAGGATGTGGGCCTCAGTGTGGTGAGTTGGGAGGGGCTGCACTCCTTTGAACTCACAATTTCTGTGGGAAGAATTGGGTACACCCTGTGCCTTTCTTTCACAGTATCTCCAACCCAAGATCCCAAATGGCCCAGCCTTGTCCTCCTTGCTTCCTTGTGATATGATCCCTATTGCAAGAGAGCCAACTGTCTTCTCAATGGTGGCAGTGCACTGTGATGACCTAAAGGGTCTCTGTGAGCAGAGTAGCTCCCATGGGCTTTCCCTCTCTCCAGGTCCCTAACTGTGAGGATGAGTTTCCACAAACAGTGCCACATTCCACCTTAGGCACATGTCCCTGTCCTGGAGAGGCTCACACTGAGAGCTCTTCCAGTCTCTTGTGCTTGCCAGCAATGATTCATTGTGTTAAAACTAAGCTTCATTCAAACCAACAAATACCACAAGAAAAGCACCACTGAGTGGGCATAAATGTTTTTCAGAAATAAATATGTTTTGCTTGTGGATGGATAAGGAGGGGCAGCCACAAGGAAATGACATATGCGATAGCATGTGGGGTGGTGGACAAGTCAGAGCCCTCACAAGCTTCTGGGCAGCTGAAGGCACTGCTTATCTTGTGTGGATGTTCATGGAAATGTCTGTGTGTCCGTCAATACCCACCATAGTCTGACTATGAACCTGTGATTCTGGACTTTCAGGTGGAAAATAGCCTTACTTTTGAGAAATTCCTAGACTGGACCGAGGCAGCATCTTTGCAGAATATTAAAGTGGAAGTTTTCATTCCAAGATTTAAACTGCAGGGGGATTACATCATGGAGTCTGTGCTTCAGCGTCTGGGAATGGTTGATGTCTTCCAAGAGGGCCAGGCTGACTTGTCTGCAATGTCAACTAAGACAGACCTGTGTCTGTCCAAGTTTGTGCACAAGAGTATCTTGGAAGTGAATGAGGAAGGCACTGAGGCTGTGGCGGGCTCACATATACTTGATGTGGATGCCTGCTTTTCATATTTACCATATTTCAATGCTGATCACCCCTTCCTTTTCTTTATCAGGCATAACGAAACTAACACTCTTCTGTTCTGTGGCAGATTCTCATCTCCCTAAGGGTTGTACTTCCCCACCATGAAAAATTTCCTTCTTTCCATGTCCCCAAGTTCCCACTACAGTTCATAAGGATGGACCTTTAGGTGAAAACCAAGTAGGAAGATAAGGGCAGCATCCTAAGCCTTCTTAACAACTTGATCTTATTTGATCTCATGATGCACACACTCAGCTGTCCCCACACTGCCCACTCACTGTACCACAGAACCAGGTCATGGCCAATAGGCTGTCCTGATTCCCTGTTGTATTAGGATGAGTGCAGTACAGATGCCTAGGATAGCTTGCAAACTTTCCCCAGATGGCCCCAAACACATTTCCCAGTCATTCCACATGCAATTCCTTCTACTTATCCTGTGCTTTCCTGTATTTTAAACTTGTCATACACCTGCCTTAGCTAAATGCCACAATAGTAATAAATGCTGGTATATACTGTTACTATTATTCAAGTTTAAAGGAAAACCAAGTTTTAGTCTGGAGGTGTGTCTCAGTGGTAGAGCACTTTCCTAGCATATGTGAGGCTCTAGGTTTGGCCCTGAGCACCACAAAAATTAAAATAAATAAATAAAGATATTGTGTTCATCTACAACTAAAAAAACACTTCAATACACATTTTAGTTTTGTCTATCTTTGACATTCACCCTTCATCATTCACCACATATATGCTAAGAATTACAATAGATAATAGGGTCACAACTGAACAGAGTCATAGTCCTTTGATATCTGCTCTTTAATGTGTGTTCTTAATTTATATAGAGTTTATGACAACCAGATTGGACAATTGAATAGCTTTGAACTGCCATATACCCCCCTTGCAGCTAGGATACCTTGCCTGGTGGTATTGTGCCTCAGTCTGGCTAGGAACAAAATCATGAGCCACTGAAGCAGGAACAAACTTTATTTCTGAACTCCACCAGCACGCTCCACACATGCTCCCAGGAAAAATGCCAAATGCCATGCCACGTGGCTCCTCCTGGGACACACTACACCAACAGGAAAATCCCTCCTCCGGAATTCCCTCCTACCGCACTTCCCCAACCAATGGGAACTCTCTGGGAGTCCCGCACAAGAGCTCCAAAGTAACAGGCCTAGGCAGACAGCAGGGGTCTAATCTCCAATTGAATGCACATCTTAACATAATCATTATCATCTCAATGGCTTGCTGGGGTCACCTTCCAACCAAAAATGCCATGCGTAATTCCTACTTGGCTATGGCTCTCAGCATCTCCCCTCTTCTGTTTAATTAAACAACAAGCAATGTGGCTTAGGGATCCTGCCTGTTAGGTTGTCCAATACTACATATGGTCCTTACCCTTCACTGGATGAGCTGACCTCTAGGCATCAGCCTCCTGTCTTAGGTTGGTACCACTGCAATTGGATCATACCCATCACTGACTACTAGTCCAGCATACAGCCATACTTGTGGATAGGCCTATGCATCAGTGGGGGGGTGAAGTTCTTTGCCTCACCTCTGTTGGCCCCCAAATTTGGCCTTTGCACCAGTGTGTGGGGGTGAGGTTCTTAGCCTCACCTCTGTTGGTCCCCAAATTTTAGACCATCACTAGCAGAAGGGAGGAGGATACAGAAATGCCACGACACTAAGCCAATTGATGGCTCCTTTGAAAAATTGTACCACCGGTGACACCATCAGCAAAGATACTCCAGCATTACCACAATTCGCTGTACCAACAGATAGTTCACAATGTATACAAGTGATACATAGTCCAGGCAAGTTCTGCAAGCAGTTTAAAGCAGAGGAATCTATCAATATGTCCATTTTCTCCCAAAGTAAATCAACTCCTTGATTGAGCATTACTTGTTGAGTTATTATTCATTGATGAATCAGTTTATACAGTTTACTGTGATAGCTATCGAAGAAGCTGTAGTTTGGTTTCATCTTTGTCTTCACCGGCACTGGGATGAAGATAGGAATTCTGGCAATGATGGCTAAAAAAAAAATGTGTAACATTCCAACAGGTACTAAGAAAACAATTTTTTGAACAATTTACATTATCCTGAACAGAATTATTAAATATAATGAAAAGGAAAGGTGAAAGTAAACAAACAGATCTGTTAACCT